ACCCCTGACATTTCTAGTCTCCGCTGTGCAGTCCCACCAGCCCCCGCGCCCAGCCGCGCCTGCGCACCTCGCCGCGCCCGGGGTCGAGGCCGGAGGACACTGCGCCTGCGCACCACGCCGCGCCCCTGGTCACTGCTGGAAGAGAAATCGCGCCTGCGCACCTCGCCGCGACCCGGGGAGGGGGCTAGTGTGGGATTACCACGCCTGCGCAGAGAGGACTCGCGGACCGGGGTGTGCTGTGGTGCCTTGTTCCGCGCTCCGGCCCGGGGTAGGTTGGGGTTCGGCGCGCTGCGGCTGCTGGAGGCCGGGCTGTGTGCCGGGGGCGGGCTGGTCGCTCCTGTGCGAGCCCCCGCGGTGGAGCGCGTTGGGGACCCGGCCGGGTCCGGTTCGGGTCCGGCCTGGGGTGCCTTTACCCACTCGCCTGATGTCACCTGCGGTGCAGATGATGTTTCTGTTTTTCGTTCTGTGCTGTGAGATGTCTGAGATGCTTTGTGGGAGGAAGGGTAGGGGAATAATATTGCAATAGTCAGAAGTAGTGTGATCATCATCTCGCACTTCACATAACTTTCGATTACTATTAAGATGTTTTTGGGGCGCAATTGTGTGCAATATCATTTTGAATTATTTTGAGTAAGTTTACAAGGGACCGTTCCCACCCTATTCACATTTAGGTTGTTTCCAAATTTTTGCTATTAGTAAATAAGGCCATGAAGAATATATTTGCGCCTAACCTGCGTCTTTATGTAGGACTACGTTGCTTTTACTAGAATTACACGTTTCCGCAGGCCATAGGCCCGAGGGAATGGACACCGCAATTCCCACATGTCCTTTGAAAGTCATGCAGTTTAGTACTTTCAGATAACTTTTTTATTCCATGGGTACCCCAAGCTCTTTAACATGAAGTCCTGAGCCATATTTTTTGGCACTTCCTTATTGCCAATTAGAATTTAGGTTTTTAGGTGTTAAACAAGTGCTTATTGAAAAACCCATTAAGATTTTAAAAAATTGAGTTGAATTTCCTTTTTTTTAACTGTCCTTTGACTATTTATTTTGTCATCAGTCTGTATGATTTGTCACAGTCACATAGAAACAGGCCGAAAGCCCTCATGACTGTATTTTGCAAAAATGTGCAACCTAATGTAGGCACTTAGTGAAGTGGCAGATGCATATTAACATGAGACCCACGCCTGGTGATGGAGATAAACCAGGAGCTTCAGGCAGAAAGGTCTGTAAGCTGGAGTTAGGACCAGTGTCCGGATGGAGCCTCCCCTCGCTGCCCCTCAGCCCCTCAGTGTCTGTCACCTTCCCTAAAGCAGCCAGTGTTTTGACACCTTCCTATTTCTTTGTATAAATGTACCACCATAATTTTAAACATTTTTATATTAAACAGTTTTCCTCGTTCTACTTGTTATTTCAGTTACTGAGACATGTCTCTGTCCCCACAGTACTGTGAGCTGCTTTTACCTGAGGTCTTCTTGTCCTCTACTTTTGATCCCATAAGGTTCAGTGATGTGTAACACATACATAGTCTGAACAACATTTTTTGGAAGAAAAAAAGAATTCCTATGAGCAACGTAGATGATAAAATTGTGACATGTTTTTTATTCCTTTTGCATGGTTAATGGTTTTATTGTTTACTTTAGGTATATATTCATGAATAACTTAAATGACCCTCCAAATTGGAATATCCGGCCTAATACCAGGGATGATGGGGGTGATGGAAGCAAATGGAATTATGCCCTGCTGGTTCCCATGCTGGGATTGGCTGCTTTTCGTAAGTCACATTTTCCTGAGTTGCATTTTCTGGACTGATGGTGTAGAGCTATGCCAGGGGTCTAGTTAATACCCTTATGTTGCAATATAACTTCTCAACACTGTAATTACACACATTTTGGAGAATCCTTATAAGAATGCAGTTAAAAGTCTTCTCTGATAACATTACCTAAGCAAGACAACAAAGAAGAAAAAATAAAATATTCTTCAACCCTTCTCTGGGACAAAAAGCATCATTTCAAAAGTCCCAGAGCAAGAACTTCAAAAGTAAAGGTTATTCTGAAAGGCTATAAAAGCTAGAGACGAGTCTGAAAAACAAACGGAAATAAAAGTCCCTTCAGGCCTCTCCCAGAGTCAAAACTAATTATTACATTAGCAATTGTAATTTTAAACCTTTCAATTCACTCACCGAGTTCATCACCCTAGCCACAGGCAATAGGTAGTCTCTTGGCAACTCGTAGTCTTTCCTAGTGTTAAGTAGTGTTTTGCAAGATGGCAGGCTGGTGAACTTCTAAATGGCATAGCCTTAGGGCTGGATTTTCTTTTTTTCGAGAAGCAGGCACAGTGCAGGTCACTGAGTCATAAAAACCACCAACACTTGTCAGCCTCCATCAGAGTTGATGTTTAGTTTTTTAGAAAGTGCCAAAATGTTTTCCAGAGTTGCTGTACCATTTTACATTCTTACCAGCAGTGTGTGAGTGATCCAGTTTCTTGGCGTCCTCACCAGCATTTGGTGTGGTCACTATGGTTTCTGCCTACCCATTCTTGTAGGTGTGTAGTGATCGCCCCTGGGGTTGTAATTTACATTTCCCTAAAGGCTAGGGATGTGGAGCATCTTTTCACTCCTTATTTGCCATCAGTGTATCGTCTTCCATGAAAGGTCTGTTCTGTCTTTCAGCCGTTTCCTAATTGAACAGTTTTTTAATACTGACTTTTGAGTTTTTACTGTATTCCAGATTCTAGTACTTTGTTAGCTGTCTGGTTTGCAGACATCTTCTCTCAGTCGGTAGCTTGTCTTTTCAGTCTTTTAATGGAGTATTTCGCAGAGCAAAAGTTTTAATTTTAAGGAAGACCCAGTTTGTCAACTTTTCCTTTTATGGGTCATGCTTTTCATGCTAAGTCTGGGAACTTGGTTTAGTCTTAGATCCTAAAGATTCTCTCCTATATGTTCCCTAAAGTTTTAGTTTTACATTTTACAGGAAAAGTGAGTGGTCCATTTTGAGTTAATTTTTGTAAAAGATCTGAGACTGCGGTTTTCCTCCTTTCCAGGCTGTTTCCCTTTCTCGCTTTTTATTCACTGGCTGAAACTTCCAGGACCCTGTTGAGTAGTTTGACCTTACAGGGAAAGCTTTCAGCATTTTCACCATTAAGTACACTGGTAGCTGTAGGTTCTTCATAGATCCTCTGTGTCAAGGCAAGGAAGTTCCCTAGATTCCTGTTTCTCTGGGTTTTTATCACGAATGGGTGTTGAGTTTTGTCAAATGTTTTTCTATGTCAGTTGATATGGTTGTTTGATTGATTGTACTGTAGCCTGCTAATCTGTTAGATTACATTGATTGATTTTTGAATATTGAACCACTCTTACATTTTTGGAATAATCCCCACTTGATCATACTGTATAATTCTTTTTATATGTTGTAGAATTATATTTGCTAATATTTTGTTAAAGATTTTCATGTCTCTGTTCATAAGGGATATATCGAATATTTCAGCCCTTTGGCAAGGCTCGCTCTCTTCATACCTGTTTCAGCATCCTGTTTTTCCCCTCAGTTATTATATTTTTCAGTTCTAAAATTTCCATTTTTTAATCTTCTATTTCTTTACTGAAACTTTCTATTTCTTAGCTTAGACTTTCCATTACGTTGGCTTCCTTAATCTCTTTCTCAGGCAACACTGACCTCTCTGTCATCTCAGCATTGACACCTACTGATTATCTTTTTTTTTTAGTCAATTTCAGATCTTCCTGATTCTTGGTATGAAAAGTGACTTTCCATTGAAATCTGGGCATTTTGGGTATTATGTTATGAGAGTGGTTTTTATTCAGACCTGTTTTGGCCGACTTCTTGGGCAGTGCTCTGGCAGAAGGGTAATGCTGCCTCCTTACTCTCAGGCGGGGGTGGAAGTCCATTCGCACTGTGGCCCATTGACACCATGTCTTGACGTTGAACTTCTCTCTCCACCTTACTTTTTATGTACCCTTGTCAGAGCAACCAAACATCTGGTACTTCAGATGTTTACTAGTGATGACCAGGCAAAGCTGAACACACTTTGAAATTCACTTTAACCTGGCCAACAATATTTGAAGTATACCCATATTCATTTTTTCAACAAATAACCCAATTCATTTTTAAACCTTGGCAATAGTATGTGGGAGCACTGTGGCTAGAGTAGGTTTGAGAGCAAAAGAAAGCAGTGGGGTTTTCTTAGCCATGGAAAATTAGAAGGCTGAAGAGGGGACACTCTGTCATACTCATCTTTTGGGAGCCCTTATCTGAGTAAGAAGTTTGCATATTATGTAGTTTTATGCAAAATGTTAGCTTTTTTGTCACTCTTAGGACTTAAGAGTTTATTGAAATGATGTCTTAGCTGCTTTATGTTTTCTTTAAAGAACTTCAGCTCTGGATTTTCATTATATGTATTTTTCTCCCTCAATTTATTCATGTCAGGTTGGATTTGGTCTAGAGAGTCCCAAAAAGAAATAGAAAAAGAGAGGGAAGCATACCGCCAGAGAACGGCTGCTTTCCAGCGGGATCTTGAGGCCAAGTACCATGCCATGATCTCAGAGAACCGACGTGCCGTTGCTCAGCTGTCTTTGGAACTTGAAAAGGAAAAAAACAGAACAACTAGTTATCGAGAAGCCCTTATTGCTCAGGGACGCAAGTTGGTGGAAGAAAAGAAGCTTCTGGAACAGGAACGGGCTCAGGTCATGCAAGAAAAGCAACAGTTGCAGCCCTTGAGAAGTGCGTATCTGAGGTGCCTGGAAAAGGAAGAAAACTGGCAGAGGAGAGCCCGGCTTCTGCTGAAGGAGTTTGAAGGTGCTCTTTCAGAAAGACAGAGCATCTACTGCAGCCTGGTTCTCCCTCGCAGCAAGCGACTGGAAATAGAGAAGAACTTACTGGTCCGAGCATCCACTGACCCAGTTGCTGTGGACCTAGAAATGGCAGCTGGCTTGACCGACATATTTAAGCATGACACCTATTGTGGTGATGTCTGGAACACCAACAAACGCCAAAATGGGAGACTCATGTGGCTGTATCTCAAATATTGGGAACTAATTGTCGAACTGAAAAAGTTTAAGAAAGTAGAGAAAGCCATACTAGAAGAGTAAGAGAAGAATGAAATAAAACTTCTTTTGATGACTCAGGTCAGTCTGCCATTGTGACATTCTCAGTTATCTGATGTTTTCTTTTTCCCTTCTTCCAGTACTGCCTGTGTTGTGGCCACATGTACAGAGTGGCCTTCCAGTCTGCCACCCTCTGAGGACAGCAGTCCTCAGCAGACAGAGGGTTTCCTCCCTGATCCTGTATAGTCATTAAGGAAGCTGTTTCTCAGAAGCATTTTTTTAAGCTGTCAGCGTTTTATTAAGCAAAGAGCATAACCTCGTATCTTAGCTCTAGTGTAAAATTGTTTTTAAGAAAGTGAAATACAATAGTGATCCTCACTATAAGAAATTTGCTGTTTTATCACTCCCTAAACAACTTCTGTTTTTTCCTCAAATTATTTTTCTTCATTCTGAAATTACATTTAGAAGTTGTGAGGTAGTGGATAGAACTGCCTAACCGATGATAATAGGAAAATACTAATATTATCAAGGTTTTGTATTATTTTAAAGACCTCTCCCACCAAAGGGAAAAGGGATTTCTTGTAGCTGCTTGATACCCTTGTGTATGTTTGGAATTTGGCTTGTGTCTGTGTTCAATAAACAGATATTATTGATTAGTGATGACATATAATAAAAGATACCTACCACTTGTGTGTGTAATTTTTTACTCTTTACAAAATGTTTTTACATACATCATCTCAATTTTTGCCACAAACTAATAGGTAGGCAGGCATTCCCAAAACTAATATGAATCAGCCTTTACTATGCTTTACGTACATCACTCGAGTAATCCTAACCCCAATGCTGTGCAGAAATGTTACTACCCTCTGTAGGTCCAGGGACTCCGAGACCACCCCTTTGATGACCCAGCACAGAGCTGTGCTTCTAGCTAAGATTTAGTACATGGAAAGGACACAAAGGGAAAGGCACACAGGGTGAAGTGAGGAGATCAGGTGCAGCCCCCAAGTCCCCTTCTGGGGACTTAACCCCCAGCAGTGAGCTGCAACATGTGAGATGTTGCCAACCAGGGATGTTCCTTAGAGACAGCACCCAGGGATTCTGTTGAGGGTTGGTGACTTAGTCACCTCTGCCTGGCAAGGCACGTACCCAACAAATTCCAAACTCCCAGAAGGAAAGCAGATATTTAGTCCAAACTGGGCACAAAGTTTAGACACAGTGAGCCACTCTTACTAGTTAATGGTGGTGGGAACCCTCCCAAAACAGGACCCTGGATGCCAGCCGAGGGCCAACCTTGTAAGCAGACTTTTCAGAGGGCTGCAGTCTCAGGCCTGCTGTGTGAACTCTTCTACACATCCTCATTTTACAGGCGAGGGAACTGGCACCGAGGTCAGGAAAAAACCTGCCCAAGGTCACCCTGGTGGTAATGTTGGAGCCAGTATGAATTCAGGCAGTTTGGCTCCAGAGCTGCTGGTAACTTATGTGCAATTATGTAAGGGGACTTGCAGTGACTGGGTGGAGGTCCATCTGGTTTCAAATCCTGTCTCCACCCTATCTGCCTGCTTGTCTGTCTGTGTGGCAGTAAGACGTGCCATTAAAAACATTAAGCTTATAGGAAACTTCAGTTGAATCGTAGGGTATAATCATCAGAGCTACTCTTTTTTGGATGCATACTATACACACAATCTTATGTAATTTATGCTTACATGTTGTTTATATCTTCAGAACCATTTTAGAGATGAGGAAGCTGCCTCCGTAAGTTCTCTAAAATGGCTCTGCCCCTGGCTGTGCCCAAAGCTTGTAGGCTCTGCTCACTGTGGTCTGAGGCTTCTGTAAAGGCTCAGAATGTCTTTCTGGTAAATTGCCACCACTGACCTAAGCAAGTGATTTCTTCAGTTAAAGCTGGTGCATATTCTACTTTGTTACTCCACTGATTTGTCATGTGTCCTTGAATAAACTACTTAATGTGTTTCTCTTGGTTTTGTCTTTAAAATGAGGAAAATAACACCCAGCCATTTAGGAGGTGGATGATTTTCCAGGAGAATTGTTAATCCTCACTGTACTTTCTAATGTCCAACATGCTCTCAGCTTCGCCTCCTTCAGCAGCTAGATAAATATGTTCAGATAATTCAAGTTAGACCGTAAGATTAGGAAGACCAGTTCTCCACAGGAAATTAAAATTCGGACACATTGTACTTGCATGTCACAGCTGCCTTCTATCAGTGTAATTTGATGGCATCTATCTTTTTAAAATTGATATTATTAGGTTTGAAATGTATACACAATGTGGTGGCATTTGATGGCTTCACAGATGTACCAAAAGGTGTCTGGATAAAGTGAGATTATGGTGGAACACTATTAAACTGAAATGGTCTAAAATAGAGAAAAAGTATAGCCCAAGAGCTGAGTATATAACTGGAAAGAACTGTCTGGACCAAGAGTCGTTAAGGTAGGCTGGACCAAGTGGAAGCCCCTGAATCTGTGCCCTCCCTTTGCCAGGATGGTGAAGAGGAAGCAGTGCTGAACTCCAGGAGAAAAAACAATGCTTCATCCAGTACAAAGGACGTCGCGGCGACAAGAGTGGTGTCCCCATGTCCCAGATGGTGGTTCCCACAAGTCCAGGAAGGTGGTCCCTCAGTGTCCATCACAGTAGTCCCCATAGAGTCCATCACGGTGATCACATCATGTCTGCATTAGACTCACCTGTCTGGTCCCTGGTACTGAGTACATTTTCTTTTTAAATTTATTTTTCAATTACAGTTGACATGCAATATTGTATTAGTTTCAGGTGTACAGCACAGTGATTAGACATTTCTGAGTACATTTACTAATGCCCAGTTTGCCTTTGTGTGGGGGCCATGACCGCTGCTCCTGGACCCTGGCAGAAACCTGTCACAGCTGCTGCCACATCAGGCGTTGTCAGAGCCACAAGGTGCAGGCTGGACAGGTGCATTGAAAATCCTTCATGACTGAAAGTGGCACAGTCAGGGTGCACTGGGACTGGGCGGAGGCACAGGTCCCCATCAGGCCGCTCCTCAGGCTTTACAGTGGCTCCACTCAGCCTCTCAGCCTCTTGGGCTTCATAAGAATGGGTTGTTCCCTGGGGGACCCAGGGCACAGGAGACATTTGCCATTAGCAGACACTTGTGGCCTGCCTCTGTTTCAAGTCACAGGTCCCAGGGCATCGCAGCACCCGAGCCCTCCTGTACCACAGCTGCCTGGCTCGGCAACACACGTGCTGGGGCCCCACCTGGCTGGCACGCAGAGGCCAAGTCTGTTATCAAGAAAATTCCACAGACACAAATAGTGGAAGCTGCTCTGCTCTTCACAGAATCAAATCACTTAAAAATTTGCCATGCCTCCTTTCTTTCCAAGAGCTTCTTCCACTAGCAAACTCCATGTGCTTGAAATAGGATTCCAGAGACTACCAGCATGATAGATCTGAGACAGGCAGCAGGTAAGCGGAGAGCAGACCTGATGGGAAATCACCACTTCCCACCCGCTTCTGCCCACGCAGCGGCAGGGGGGTTACTGCCCCCCTGAGCAGGCAGACCCCTGAGGTGGCTCTCCCTCTGGAGGCCCAACCCCAGGAGCCCCAGTCCACTGTGGGAGAAAGGTACGGGAGATACCTGGGGGGAGGCGCAGAAGTGCCCGGATGGGGACGGGACATACCTGGGGAGGGGGCAGCACAGCGTTGGACCAGAGGGCAGCAAANGGGAAATCACCACTTCCCACCCGCTTCTGCCCACGCAGCGGCAGGGGGGTTACTGCCCCCCTGAGCAGGCAGACCCCTGAGGTGGCTCTCCCTCTGGAGGCCCAACCCCAGGAGCCCCAGTCCACTGTGGGAGAAAGGTACGGGAGATACCTGGGGGGAGGCGCAGAAGTGCCCGGATGGGGACGGGACATACCTGGGGAGGGAGCAGCACAGCATTGGACCAGAGGGCAGCAAATGCTCACGCAGTAATGCAAACCCTCGTGGAGCGTTGGGATGGTTGTGCGTGAGGAGGATTTGGCCAGATCAGACACTAGCTTCTGTCTTGAGGAGAATGCTTTATTTTCAGAGGTTCCTTTAAAAATTCTGAATTGCATTGAAATGAAAATCACATCTGAATGAAACACATTTCTGTTTTATTTGTACTTTATCATCCTAGTCATCACCTTGGCACAAATCAGAGCTTGGTGGAAACCAAGCCCACCTGACGTCCTGCTCCCCCGAACTCCTCTTCGGTACCACTACCAGCCGGCACCTCACACGCAGCCTGGGACGCACCATGACCAGGACAGCCGTGACCTGGCTCACCATGACCTGGCTCTCAAGCGCCAGGACTGCGGTAACCAGGCAGGACCGCTCCCTTGGATCAGATCTCAGCGTCTAAGAGCGGCAGGGGCGGGGTCCCCGCAGGCACTATGGTCTTCCTGCAGTGACAGACGCCCTCCTGGCAGGCCCTTCGGTTCCTTAACCTGGTGCTCTCAGGCTCAGCCAGCAGCAGCAGAGCCTGAGCATTGCTCACCCCCTCAAAAGCAGGCAGAAGCCATTAATAACCAAAGCCCACAATCCATGCTAGACTGGGCGTTGTAAATATTCCAGCAGACATCACCCTGTAAGCATAAGCACTGCAGACAACTGAGGGGGGGTGGGACAGCACGGGGCTCCCATGCTCTTCGCTTTCACTTCTTTCTGCCGTCTGTTCTGTGACATATTCTCTCATTTCCTTCCATCTCATGCCAGCCTGATGTCCTGCTCCCCCAACCACGACCAGCCTGCACCTCACAGGCAGCCAGGGACACACCATGACCAGGACAGCCACTCTGGGTCCCCTGGTGCCTCTTTGTGCTCCCCCCTGTGGTGGGGGCTCCTGCTGACCCCAGGGCATTTCTTGCTCCAGCATGCCCGCTGTGCTTTGACGCTAAAGTGGCCTCGTGTCACATCTACTGGGAGGCAGGGCTTCCTCTCGTATAGTGCCTAACACATACCATGTACAACTTTGACTAAGAAACGCTTTGGATGATGGTGGTGAGGGCACAAACACTCGGCCAAGCTGCTGACCCCAGGGTCACCCATTGATTGGCTGAAATGCAAGACCCGCCGTGGCCTGTTGCAGGGCCTACCTACTCCATTTGTTTCAGTGCCCTGGAAAAGTTTTCTAGGGCAGTTTTGAAAGCTTGCAGTAAGAAAGTTCCAAGTTCATTGCTTGTTTCTTGAATATCTGGGTCAAAACTTCCAAAGACTGGTGTGGAAACTTGGATGTCATCCCGGCCGGCCCGCAGCAGCACCCCACGCAGGTCCTCGGCAATCATGTCGTATTTCTGCTGGTCAAATTTGGACATGGCCAGCTCGTCCTGGGGGTAGGCGGCACCCTCAGGGTAGCAGTCCTTAGGCACCGGGAACTCCACCCACCGCAGCTTGGGGAGCTCAGAGAGAGCCAGGAAGAGGCGCCTCAGGGCAGAGGCCGACAGTGGGTTCCCCAGGAAGCGGAGCTCCTGGAGCTGGTGGCAGGGGCTCAGGGCCAGGATCAGTGTGCTCAGGTGACGGTCCTCGATGCTGCACTCCTCCAGGGTGAGGACCCTCAGTGTTTGGGCGGCCCGGCCCAGCAGCCTGAAGAAGGTTGAAGGGAAAAGGCTGACTAAGCTGTGTCCACTGAGGTCCAGCACCTCCAGGTGGGTGGCATGGGTACAGTCTGCCAAGAAAGCCATGTCTGCATGGTTCAGGGAACAGTTGGCCAGGTCCAGTGCTCTCAGCGGGGTTCTTAGGGGACTGCAGGGCAGGGTGGAAAACAGCAGAGGTGAGAGGTGGTCCTAGTGAGGAGCTCTGGGGGCAGTTAGGCAAATTCTGTCTCAGGGGTCAGCAGTCCACAACTGGACCAAATCCATCAGCTGCCTGATTTCGTCCAGCCTGAGACCTAAAATGGTCCTGACATTTTAAAATAGTTGAACAAATCAAAAGAAAAATAGTTTGTGACATGGGAAAATTATATGAAATTCAAGTTTCAGTGGCCGTGAATAAAGTTTTATTGGGATGCTGCCTCACTCATTCACTATGTACTGCGGCTGCTTTGGGGCTGAAAAGGCAGAACTGCACGCTCGAGAGAGTGGTGCGTGTGGCTGCATGTTGTGAAGAGGTCACTTTACCAGACAGGTCTGGCCTTGTCCACAGCTCCTGAAAGGTAAATCTGTGTTGTCAGCACTCTGTGTGGGTCCAGTGTAAGGAAGTGCCCACAGGGGTCCCTGTAGAGAATGTCTGCTCACGAGCTCGGTGGGGCAGAGAGATGCATGTGAACTGGCAGGAAATGAAATACCCAGGTTTCATTCAAGAGTGAAAGCCACAGTTTTAGGGCTGGGAAGGGCCTTGGAGCCCTCTAATCTAGGCTTAGCATTGCCTGGGACCTAAAAAGCCCTCCCTTTCTGATGTAGGTGGCCCCATATCAATCAACACACAGCTGGGGTGTGAGCCTGCTCTGGCCCAAGGTCCTCAAAGTCAGGAGCGGCATGTGCACCAGGGTCCTGTGAGAGATACATGTTCTTGGTCCACCAGGAGTCTGGACCTGAGCTCGGTGTCACCAAGAAGGGCGCTGAGTACAGGAGGATGTATGGGGTCCTGTTCTCTGTCCCCACCCATCCTCTTGCTGGAGATGCCTCCCCTACCACCTCCTGCATCTGTACTATGTGTGCACTGAGCGCCTGGTGCCTACCCACGGACCTGCACAGCTGAGCACTTGCTGTCTACCCCACAGCGCACTCTCTGCGTCATTGCTCTGCTCCATGGATGTTTCTCTTTTGATTTCTTTCATGCCACATCCATCCACAAGGAAATCCTGTAAATTCTCCTTCACATCAAGTCCAGGTCCGAGGGCCACTCACCACCTGCCCTGCTCACAGACGGTCCTAGCCCCAGTCTTCTCCTATCTTATTGGCAGTGTCTCCTGTACAAAAAAGGCTCAAAAGAGCAGGCCTGTTGACCGTGGGAGGCCTGCATCTAGGGCTTGGATTTGAGAAGGGTCCTATCACCCAAGTGACGGGTGGTCCCTGGCTCTAGACTGTTTGTACAAACAACGTGGTTCATACTGAGTCCCTGCTTCCTTCTGGGGTCTGGAGTCTTGGTGTGCACCTGGCTGAGGAGTCTGCCTACCAGCTCCCAGAAAACACCCTGGGTGTTTGGAACACATACCCCCAGTACAAAGGCATGTCTACGTTGAGGACGCAGGCCAGCCAACTGCAAGACTGCCCTGAAGGTCCCAGAGAGCCAGCCACCAGGCCTAGTTTTACTGTTCATGGGCTTGGTGGCCACCCTTTTCTGTGTAGGAGATTGATGTCCTGTGAGAAACAGGAGGAAGAGAGCCTTCATTCCTCTACCTGGCAGACTTGGGGTAGAGGAGCAGTGATGGAGGACCTGGGGGAGCCAGGGTGCCTGTAGGGGAGGAGAGGGAGTGCAGCCTTTGGCCACCTGGGCAGGCAGCTTCTAGGTTAACTTGTATAAAAGAGAAACACCTGTAAGCAAAGGCTCCCTAAATTAGGAGAGACACCTTTACACTCCCTGGCTCAAGAAATGAGAAGTTCAATTTTCTATAAGCTTTTACAAGTATATTCATGGCAGGTGGCCACCAAGGAGGCCCGCCAGCCCTCCTGGTGCTCCCACCCTTGTGTGGTGACTGCCTCCTAACCAACACAATATGAAACAGTGAGGACACACACCGAATAGGAAGTTATAAAGATCGCCTCACCCCTGGGTGCTCTGGCTCTCTGATGAGCACCCAGAGGCTGTGAACAGCTTGTGTGGCAAGGAGCCTAGGCCACCTGCCCACAGCCAGGTGAGTGAACCTGGAAGCAGACTGCCCACTTTCCCGCCCTGCCAAGCAGACTGAAGTCCACTAACAGCCAGAGGTAAACTTGTGTATTCAGCCCAGTGTTGGAGTAATTTGTTATAATAGCAAGTAATTAATACAATAATATAGTTACTTCTGTTATTGGTTTGCTAATTAGTAATTTTCTCTTTTGTTTACTAACTGAAAACAGTCCCCTGTGAGTTCCCAGTGCTACGCCCCCACCTTTTCCCTAGTCTGTCCCCACCTGCTGCTTTGGGCCTCTAAATCACAAGGTCCGATTATTGGGTCCTTGGTGCATCTTTAGCTTAGCCTCTAATAGGGCCTGTGTCACCCTGACCCAGGTAAGGGGTTGTGAGCAGAGACTGCACCTACCCTCTGGTCACCCCAGACTCACCCGAGCAGTTTCTGGATCTTCCCAGTCAGTGTGGAGAAAGCCACACTCAGCTCCGTGAGCTGGGTCATCTGGCTGAGCTCCCAGGCAATGGAGGTGAGGAGGGGGTCCTCACCCTCGGTGGTTGGGGTGCAGGCAGGGGGCGTGTCAAAGGCCTTGGCAGGCAGGGTGAGGGAGGCCAGCTGAGAGAAATGCAGCTGGGCCAGCAGCTGCTGCACGTGGCCCGCGTGCAGCCGCACGTTGTGCACCACCTGCAGCCTGTGCAGCTTGCCAGGCTCGGCCAGACACAGCACCTGCAGGAGCTGGCTGGGGTCCAGGCTGTCCGCCCGGAAGGACAGGCAGCGCAGGCGCAGTGGGGCGGGGCCTGCTGGCCCCAGGGCCTGCACCACCAACTGGAAGTTTCCATCAGTGACAAAGATATCAGCCAGGACCTTGACAGATTGCTGAGCAGCACGGGGTCCCGCCTGTAGCTCGCAGCAGGTCCTGGCCAGCAGCTCAGTGCGGCCCCACCGGCCCAGCGCCCGCCCACAGGGGCACTGCTGCACCTGCACGTCGCGGACTCCCGTGAGGTCAGCCAGCTGCAGCCGCGGCTGGCCCCTGCCCCGGAGCACGTGGTCCGCCAGGCCCCTCACGCAGGCCTCCAGGCAGGCCCTGCAGGCCCGGTCTCGCAGGTCACCCGCGTGGTCTTCGCTCGGCCCCAGCAGCGCACCCAGCCGGAACTCCTCCAGGGGCCAGCGCGCCAGCAGGACTCGGATCACCTCCGCCCGCTCCAGCAAGTAGCTGGCTTTGAAGAGGAGTGGGTAAAGGTTGTGGGCCACACTGTCCAGGCTCTCCAGGGCCACCTGGGGGTGGGACACCAGGGCCTCAGCAGAAGCGTAGCGTAGTGACTTCATCATGCCCACCTGCGGTGACAGAGGCAGGACAGTGCTCTCCCCTTGTGATTCTCCCAGAGACACGTGTATGCCCTCCGCTATTTTTAGCAGCAGCTGCTGTGAGCAGCTTGCCTTTGGGAGGGAGGTGGCCCACCAGCCATGTGGTCATCTGATGGTTATTTTGGTCCTGGGCGCCTGTTTGGCTTGGGTGAGGCATCTGGCAGTGGCCGGCATGTCCTCGTGGAGCTCGGCTGGTGAAAGCAGAGCTGAGTGCTTAGCTCAGGGGGGCCTGGGCCCTGAAAGTTGCCGCTGTGCCCACTGCAGGGGGCCTGAGCTTGGAAGCCGCAGTCAGCAGGTCCTGGGGCAGCCTCCTCAGGTGGAGCACATCTGCCCCAGGTCTCAGCCCTTCTCGCAGTTGCAGGAGCAGAGGACGAGGTCAGCCTCGGGCTAACAAGCCTTTCCCGGGAGTCTCTGGGGGCTGGAACCCGCCCTTGACTTATGCCTGGGAATGGGGACATGGTACCAAGAATGGGGCTAGGCACCTCTGACAACTGTTTCCTGATTTTAAGACGAGACAAATAATGCCAGCCCCAAGAGGCGCCGACATTTTGCTTCACTCATCTCTTCCTTTATTCTCTCCCAGGACCCGGGCAGCCTGTGGCCTCCCCACTTCCACGGGAGGGAGCCATGGCATGAGCGAGCTGGGAGGACATGTAGGCGGTCCCTTGTGGGGCTGCCTGACAGCAGCTGGGAGAGGTGTGGCTCAGTACACACCCTCAGCCGCCTGCCTGCCTGTCCTCATCTTTGACTCCAGGAACCAGGAGGCCCTGGGAGCTGTGATGCCTCCCTGACATGTGTTCAACCATCACTCCGAAGGGGGCAGATACAATGGGCCAAATATGCCACTTTGACATAAGGATTATTTTGAGCTAAAGGTGCTTGAACAGTAGGTGTGCTGACTTCCCCTTCCTTCCCGAAAGCAGGAGCTATAG